TAGGTCCTTTTCTGCAGAACTGCTAACACCTCATTCAGACCCTAGTCTGACGCAGTACCTGGGATTCTTCCGTCCTAAGTGCAGGACTCTGTCACTTGTCCTTGTTGAACCTCATCAGGTTTTTTTCGGCCCAATCCTCTAATTTGTCTAGGTCCCTCTGTATCCGATCCCTACCCTCTAGTGTATCTACCACGCCTCCTAGTTTAGTGTCATCTGCAAACTTGCTGAGAGTGCAGTCCACACCATCCTCCAGATCATTAATAAAGATAACATTCACTCAATGTGCAGCAGCCGTCAAAAAACTTACCAGAATGTTAGGAACCATTAGGAAAGGGATAGATAATAAGACAGAAAATATCATAATGCCTCTATATAAATCCATGACACAGCACAGGAGTGCAGGGGTGATCAGGCTGCAGGATTTTCCTGCTTGAATCATTTGTTTTACAAGCCAGGAAGCAGGGCCGGCTCCAGGGTTTTGGCCGCCCCAAGCAGCCCCCCTTTCCCCCCAAGCCGCGATCGCGATCTGCGGAAGCAATTCGGCGGGAGGTCCTTCGCTCCGAGTGGGTGTGAGGGACCATCTGCTGAATTGCCACCGAATAGCTGGACGTGCCGCCCCTCTCTGGAGTGGTCGCCCCAAGCACCTGCTTGCCAGGCTGGTGCCTGGAGTCGGCCCTGCCAGGAAGTGGGAATTTTGTGTCTCATTTAAAACACACATAGGCAGTTTCCCTGCCCTGATTTTCTGCCTCATCATTCCTTTATCTGTAGCCTCATATCTTAACATACTCTTAGGATTTAAGTAAGCATAGACACGTGGCAGATAAACGATACAGTAGTAATTCACAAGGGCCATACATGACACTCAGTTGGGAAATGCACCTTCTGCCTCTGCAAAGGGAGGGAGAGGCTTGGGCTGCACGGAGAAGGAGGAAATGAGAAAGATTCACAGTGGCAGGTGTAACAAAGGCCAGGCCCCTACTGTGACTCCCTCAGAGAAGGGTCTGAGCAGTCCCACGGGGAAAAGATTCTGTCTGGCTTATGAACTGGTGACAAAGTTTGTAAGTTACAAGTAGCATGGCAAAAAAAGAGCCCAATGCAGGAAAAAACAGTTTCCAATCAGCTATTCTGCTGGTTTAACAATCAAAGGAGGAGGATATTATTCAAGAGAAATGAATTACGCTGTTTCAAGTGGCATGACCAACTCTAGTCAGATGCTCAGAGCTGCTGCCAGCAGGCACTTCAGAAACACCAACTTGAATGCAAAGCATAAATCTCTTCTCCCCCGCCCCTTCCAAGTTTGGGGACATTGAGAAAGGAGTCTCGTTATCATTATCAGGCTGTTTCTGTAGATAAAGTGGCACAAGGTCTCTGATGGTCACTGACGCAGAGCTCAGATGTTTTTGGTGCAAATCCAGAGATGTATTTACTTACTAGAATATACAGAACACAGGGAAGCAGTGCCAACAGGACACAGCACAGAGGAAAGCAAAGAGAAGAATACCACGTAATACAATCTGTACAGCTGGACTGCCAGGTAAGGACAAACATTAGCTCTCCCCTCTGCCATCCCAACTGTGATCAATGAACAGCCAAACATTAAACAGAAGGGGCACAACAATTTGACAGCCTAGGACAGCGAACAGAGGACAGGCAAACAGAGGGAGGTTTCCTGGGAGTTTATCTGTGGGGAGTTCGCAGAGTGTTTTTGCCTTTCAGGCTCCTGGGACCAGTAGATACAACATCTGAGGAGCCTTTTAGAAGGAAGATATGGATAGTGAGCGCTCAGCTGTTGTGACCTGCTCAGAATGTGCCATATTTGTCTCTCTCCCAGAGGACAGAAGCGACTTTGTACGAAGTGCAAGCTAGTCTGCGTATTGGAAGAGAAGGTTAGAGGACTAGAGAACCAAGTATCAACCCTGCGTTGCCTCAGAGAAAAATGATTTTCTGGATAGAAGTCGGTGTTTGGTTCTGGACGCAAAATGTGCTGAAGAATCAGAGAGTGCAGAGTAGAGCGGGGAAGAATATTGACAGCATGTGACCTCCAGAGGAAGAAAGAGGAGAACCCACGTACCCCCAATGCAGATAGAGGTGACAGTTTTCAGGCTCTCTGCACAGGTACTAATGCAGAGAAGGATTTGGAAGAGCCCTTTGAGGGAGGGAGTCAGAAGGAGACTCCGTCGGCCAGAAGGCATGGGATGCATTGTCCTAGGGATGGAGGTTCCATGACCACCACCCCCAAGAGGAGGAGACGGGTGGGAGTGGTAGGGGACTCCCTCCTCAGGGAGGGAGTACAGAGTCATCTATCTGTCGACCGGACCGGGAGACTTGAGAAGTGTGCTGCTTGCCTGGAGCTAGAATCCAGGATGTGACCGAGTGTTTGCCGAGACTGATCAAGACCTCGGACCGCTACCCCTTCCTACTTCTCCACGTGGGCACCTTGAGCAAATCATTGCACACTACGTGGCTCTGGGAAGAAGGATAAAGGAGTTTGAGATGCTGGTCGTGTTCTCATCCATCCTTCCTGTTAAAGGAAAAGGCCCAGGTAGGGACCGTCGAATTGTGGAGGTGAATGCATGGTTACGCAGGTGGTGTCGGAAAGAGGACTTTGGATTCTTCGACCATGGGATGTTGTTCCAGGAAGAAGACTGCTAGGAAGAGATGGGATCCATCTAACGAAGAGAGCATCTTCGCAGGCAGGCTGGCTAACCTAGTGAGGAGGGCTTTAAACTAGGTTCACCGGGGGATGGTGACCTAAACCCAGAGGTAAGTGGGGGAGTGGGATACTGGGAGGAAACAAGGAGGAGGGTACAAGATGGAAAGCCTCCTGATTCATACTGAGAAAGCAGGGCAATCGGCTAGTTATCTTAGGTGCATGTACACGAACGCAAGAAGCCTGGGAAACAAGCAGGAAGAATTGGAAGTCCTGGCACAATCAAAGAACTATGATGTGATTGGAGTAACAGAAACTTAGTGGGGCAGTTCACATGACTGGAGCACTGTCATGGATGGTATAAACTGTTCAGAAAGGACTGGTACGGGAGGAAAGGTGGAGGACTTGCACCGTATGTAAGAGAGCGATATGATTGCTCAGAGCTCCAGTATGAAACTGGAGAAAAGCCTGTTCAGAGTCTTTGGGTTAAGTTTAAAGGCGAGAGCAACAAAGGTGATGTCGTGGTAAGCGTGTGCTATAGACCGCCGGATCAGAAGGATTAGGTAGACGAGGCTTTTTTCAGACAACTAACTGAAGTTTCCAGATCACAGGCCCTGGTTCTAATGGGGGACTTCAATAACCCTGACATCTGCTGGGAGAGCAATACAGCAATGCACAGACAATCCAGGAAGTTTTTGGAGAGTGTTGGGGACAACTTCCTGGTACAAGTGCTGGAGCAACCGACTAGGGGCCGTGCTCCTCTTGACCTGCTGCTTACAAACAGGGAAGAATTGATAGGGGAAGTAGAAGTGGGTGGCAACCTAGGCAGCAGTGACCATGAGATGGTTGAGTTCAGGATCCTCACAAAAGGAAGAAAGGAGAGTAGCAAAATACGGACGCTGAACTTCAGAAAAGCAGTCTTTGACTCCCTTAGGGAACTGATGGACAGGATCCCCTAGGAAGCTAATATGAGAGGGCAAGGAGTCCAGGAAATCTGGCTATATTTTAAACAAGCCTTATTGAGGGCGCAGGAACAAACCATCCTGATATGTAGAAAGAATAGCAAATATGGCAGGCAACCAGCTTGGCTTAACAGTGAAATCTTCGGTGAGCTTAAACTCAAAAAAGAAGTTTACAAGAAGTGGAAATTTGGACAGATGACTAGGGAGGAGAATAAAAATATTGCTTGAGCATGCAGGCATGTAATCAGGAAGGCCAAGGCACAATTGGAGTTGCAGGTAGCAAAGGATGTGAAGGGTAACAAGAAGGGTTTCTACAGGTATGTTAGCAACAAGAAGGTGGTCAGGGAAAGTGTGGGACCCTTACTGAATGGGAGAGGCAACCTAGTGACAGATGATGTGGAAAAAGCTGAAGTACTCAATGCTTTTTTTGGCTCGGTCTTCACAGACAAGAGCAGCTCCCAGACTGCTGTATTAGGCAACACAGTGTGGGCAGCAGGTGACCAGCCCTCACTTGTGAAAGAACAGGTTAAGGACTAT